TGTACTTAAGGTAGAAAGAGCAACTTTGAAGCTATCGTACTTTTCTAAAAACATCTTCCCCACCGTACCGGAAATGTACGAATACAAGGAAAAACACATCAGCCGTTGCCAGTTAAAACCGTTATTTTGTCCCATCATCATCTAACACGTACAAGCTTGAAGCATCATTATTTTACCCATATTAAGAGTCTGAAAGGTTTACATTGAAGTGAAACTACGCTATATTTCTAAGACCGCGTTGTTCTGGAACGTTCCTTCTCCAGCTTGCAAAAATGCTTCAGAAAATTGTGTGCCCGTGTGCTGCCTAACTAATATTGTCTGTCTTAATCTTAAAACCTACCTTTTTCGTTGATGCTGCTCCTTGATTCAAGGTTTAAAATATTTTAATGGCGAGTCATGTAGTCATCAGAACAACAACAAAACAAGAACTCAAAACGTCTGAGATATACATCAGTTTTATGATTATAAATGAATTTCAGTTTTTGAATTGAATCACACAGGGCTGCATAGCGGCACTGTTGCCTTTCAGCAAGACAGTCCTGGGTTCAAATCCCGGCCTGGGGGTCTTTCTGCATGGAGTTTCCATGTTCTCTCCGGAGATGTACTACTTTACTGAGACGCCCCTCCACGCTTTGTGCCTGATGTTATGAGCTTCTGTTTCCACAGTACACCAGAGACTTAACCCAGCATGTCATCCACACCAAATCAAAGTCCAGCTTTCACTTGCTCTAGCGAACCTGCTGGTCTGTCAGCTAAGCGTAAGAGAATGAAACATTTCTCCAAAAAGCAGTCGAACAACTTACGCCGAATAAACATTGGCGTGGCCTTTCAAAGATGGCGCGACCTCAAAGATTCGCATGGATTCAGGTCTGACGCACAGTTGGCCTTGCATCTTCTTCATGAGTAAGTTCCGTGTTTAAAGCTGTCTTAGCTGTAGCGCAAGACAGAACTGTCTTGTATACATGTGCATACATACCTTTCTGGCTTGCACTTTCACAGAGTTTGTCTCTTTTGCTTTCTTTATCTCTGTTGATGTCTGCACATCTCCATTTCTGGGCCATAAAGAGAGCTTTGACTGTACTGCTCTGCTTGCATGGAAAATGTACTCACATGCACAATGTGCGAGTACCCCCCCAAAAAAGTGGTATTGCTCCTTTATAAGAGCTTTTTCTCTCCTCTTACCAAAGTAATGGCTTCCTGGGAAATGTTAAACCTCTTCTCATAGAGGAGATGTTTGGGTCAGTCTTGGTCACGAGAGCTTTACTAGTGTATTTCTGAGTGGGGTGTAGCTTTGCTGCTGATGTGATGCTTTGTGTCTTAGGTTATTGTCAACAATTGTTGGCATGCTTACATTCACTCTTCTTATGACTAAAAGATGAATGAAAAGACACAATTTTCTTTATGTATCAGTAGAAGACACTTGAAAGAACATATGCTCAAAATATTTTATATATATTTGTTTATTAATGTATTTTACTGACTTCTTGTTCAGGTTTGTGACTGACATTTGCCTCCAGCGTTACAGGTGGGAAGTAAAGAGGTCTGGTCATGTGACCTTTCACACCAGATGCATGAAATTGATATTGCTTAGAGTAGACACTCTATTATTTTATTTTAAGACTTCAATCAGTTGCCAAAAGTCAAAACAATTATTTTAGAGCTTCTGGAAGTTAGAAAAAATTTTGTCTGGCAACAATTGTTGCCGGTGAGATTAAATGGGTTGAGAACCAAATCTGTAGTTAAAAATTTGAGTAGAAATCTTATGTTTTTTTTTTTTTTAAGAAAAGACCTCAAGTGCAAAATTAGACAATAAGATGGGACTAGGGAGGGATCCTTGGGGAATGCCATGTCTAAGTGAAAGACAAATTCAACTTTTTATGTTGCACGGCAGTCTGAAAAAGGATTTGGAATTTTTTTTTTTTTAAATCAACCTGTTCATAATTTCTCTGCTGTTTGTCAGTTCTTCAATGGTGTATGTTGCTTTCTGGCATTTGACTTTCTCTCACAGTGGTGTTGCATATAGTGCTGAGGGGTCTGCTCCACTGGGATGCCATACTTCTTGCTTTGCAGTTTTTGTTGGTAAATGCAGATAAAGGCAAACTTAGCTAATCTCTAATTGTTTCTCTTTACTTTTTGTTTCCTTGAGAAGAACAGAGACATTTCCTCCTGTGTCTGGACCTGCTGAAGCCGGCGATATGAGGCTAATGATCTCCCAATCAGAAGTAAGAAAATACCTGATATTTCTGAGGAGGTTAATATTAATTTAACAATGCAGTTGATAATAATAAAAAAAAAAAGCTTAAGCCAAAGCTTTATAAAACTATGAAGTGGAATTGAATCCTTTGGACATATCTCTAGACATTGCATGTGCAAGATATTTGAAAAATGTCCAAATGCAAATGCAATGAATTTGCATCCTTAATGGCATTCTGTGTTTCTACAGGTGCAAGCTCTCATTGAGCAGGAGGCCCATAAAGCTGTGGCAAATAAGGAAAGGCAGATTGAGAGTATGATACAACGCATTCAAGACTCAAATGATGAAGCCAGCTTCGAAACGTCCATTCAGAAACTAGAGGTGGGGGGAACACAAGAACAGAGAACATGCATGGCATAAACAAAGTACAGCATGCCAGGAAAAAAAAAACCCTCTAACCAGTTGTGAAGCAAGACGGTGGACCTGTCATGGCTTGAATATGATAAAGTGTATCGGAGGGTGCTTAAAGTAAATAAGACATTTGCAAAAGAGCAAAAACAAGAAGCTGTTTTTACTGAACGCTTTTTTGCTGTCTTCATCAGAGTCGAATCGAAGCCATAGCGAGGAGAGCGGAGGTGGCTCTCTCCTACTTAGCAAGTATTCAGAAGCAGGTTGGTACAATCTCATAGTCTCCTCTGTTTATGGGTAACGTCTATCTTAATATTAATACTTTAACAATGACGCCAATATATCCCAAATTTGAATCTTAATTTTCAACATCCTTGCAGAGTTCTCCGTCCTCCGCTGGTGACGCTGACATCCTCGGGTGCGTTTCAGCTCATTTAGTGCTTCGTCAGTAAAGACCCTGAATTTCCTGTGCGACTTGTTTTCATTGAATAAAGGTGGAAATAATGAGGTTTGCTGTGAACTTTGTAGGAAAGGCCCACAGCGTGACCCTTTGGAAGCGGCGTCACAGAGTAAGAGCTCATTCGGCAAAATTGCTCTGGTATCCAGATTGACATTGCATTTGTTTTTATTTTTGCGTGCTTGTTTCCTTGTAACCACAGCAGACACAATGAGAACAAACCGTGAAGCGGAAAGTGGGGAGCTTCTCAAAATGATGGTAAGTTTAGAGCAATTTATCCCTTACTAGTAAATCAGTCTGTTTAGTTTTGAACGATCTAATGCACAGTTTCCAAGAAGGATCAGTGTGTCAGCTCAGATTTGCTTTGCAAGACCTGCACATTGGGGTAGAATTAAAATATATTGTTTTTTATTGCAATGGCAATAAAATTGTTGGTGTAAAAGGTTTTAGTATTTTGTCTTTTTAGCCAAAAATCAACCAGTTTAATCATTTGAATCCTAACAAAGTGGAGAACATCTTCAGAGTGAAACATGTACATTATCCAACAGGCCACACTGTTACATTAAGTGATGCTACTTTACTGACAGTCTCAGGAGGAACAAACTGTTTCATAAAATACATATTTGATTATATTGTGACTTTTTCTTTTCATAAAATGAATATACACATTTTTCTCAATAGATAATAAAAACACACTAGTAGCCATATTTGCTGTAAAACTTAATTTCTCTCCTTACTCAAATTGCTATAATTTGATGTTAAAATTAGTTTTATTACACACTGTAAAAAAAAAAAAAACAATACAATACCAGCAGCTGTGGTTGCCAGAATTTTACTGATTTTATATGGTAAAATTATAGATGTAAATTCCCATAAATTAGAGACGTTTTTTTTTTTTTTTGACAGTGCAAGCAGCAAATAGCCAGATATCATTTTGTCAAATAATTGCTGTTTGACTCATAACAAAGCAGCTTTTCATTGGTTTGTTTTGTTCAGGAGACAACAAGAAACGCACTGAAGAATTTCCGTGCCGACAATGAGAGTAAGTTCATGTCACAGCAGCAAATATTTTAGTCTTTAAGGCGAAAATAGATTTTTGGTATTTAGTTTTTAGAAGAAAATATGGCCTACGTGCATTTTTTTAACTATTCAAAAATATCTACAAACATAATATTCTATTTACTAATTCTAATCTTTTAATTTTGTGTCCTGCCTCTTCTGATTTGTGCAAAGCGTTGACCACTGCCTTGGCGAATTTAGAGGACCCTCCTCCCGTTCTGACGCCTCGGTGTTCTCCTGTTGCTACGGTAAAATTATATTTTGTTTGTTTAAACATACTGATCATAGTGTGGCTAACTATGCAGAAGCCGAAACAACTTCCTTTTAAGTACAGCATGAATATACTGACATATTTTCCTTCATAGGAAAGAAAAATATGTGGACAAAAAAATCAGTGGTCAAGTAATGAAGGTAAGTTGCTCTGCAGATATTTGACTGCACCAGATAAATCCATTTTTATGACTGCCTATATATGTCATGTGATTCTCACACAAATCCACACATACTCTCCATGACACTGATTTGATAAATCACAACAAGTCCCAACATTTACGGTTTATCCATTTTTCTTTTACACCAGCATCTTTTGTATTTGTATCGGATTAGCTGGATTACAGTGCGAAAACAAATACCAAACAACAGGCACACAGTAGATCCTCCTATCCTGAGTCATGCACACACAGTGGCTTTCAAAAGCATTCACACCCCTTTTTCATATGTTGTCACTTTAAGCCATAAACATAAATACGTCTCATTTGAATTTAATGAGACATACACAAAGTGGCATACAGTTGTGAATTTGAAGGAAAATTACACGATCCAAAGCTTTTGTTTTTCAAATAAAAAACTGGAAAGTGTGGTGTGTAAAAGTTTTCCAATTGATTAGATTCAATTGAATCATCTGAATAGAAACCAAGCTGTTTGTTGTTATTCCCTCCTGATGTTTCTCCGTGTTTTTCTGTGACGGAGCAGATTTATGTGAGAAGCCGCCGCCACCGCCGTGTCTTAGTCCCTGTGACTCTAAAGAGCATAAGGTAGGATTGGAGTCTGCTTGCTTGTTAACATTTACTTTCTTTATAAGCATTTTTTTATTTAATAATTAAACTTTTTTTTTTTAATCATAAAATTGAAAGAAGATCAGATTTCATCACCCATTGCTATTGTTCTCACGTCACCCTGTTTGTTTCTCTGGATGCAATGATGATCCACTTCAGTGATTTTGCAAAACAAGTGAGTGCAAGTAAATGGAAAAAAACAAAAAAGTAGTTTGAACGTGGAAGAACTCGCAGTCCTTAGCTTGAAACCCTTCCTAAGTTCCTACAGGGTGAAGATACAATGAACATGATGTAAAATAAACAGCTTAATCTTTGTGGGCGTTTTTTGACATTAAAACAGATAATGATCCTCGCCCATGTGGACTGTTTCAATTTCCACGAGTTTGAAAATGTCAATTTTGGAGTGGACCATATTTCTTGGTCAGTTTTGCAACATCCTGAACGATTTTGCTTTCACTGAATGATTTTGGATCAAATAACGAAAACCTGGGCACAGTTGGTGTTCCAGCATAGAGACCTAAAACACATCAAAACTGGTTGTGGAATAGGAGAAGCAGCGAGGCGTTGAGCTGTGAGAACGCCCTCCTGAAAGCCCTGTTAAAACATGTGGACTATGTTTAGATCTTGGATGAAACCTCCAGGAAGAGTCGCCACATGTTCAACGCAAATTTTGCTGTAAGCTTATCTGTGGATATGCAAAGGGTGGTAACATTTAAATCAGTAGATCTGTTTTTATATGACTGTGTAAGCATAATTCTGCCCATGTGGGTGAAAAGCAGGAAATAAATTTAAATCTGCACACCTAATTCTTTTATGGTTCTGTTTAAAAAAAACAAACAAAAAAAAAACTGAACATGTTTGTGTCAGTATCACTTTAATACTTAAGTAACACAGGAATTGTAAGGATCTTGCTGACACTGTAAATGTTAATGCAACTGACAAATCAACCACACATTTTCCATAAGATTTGGTTTTATTTTATTTAATTTCTTCCTTTTGGTTTGTCAAATTCTGAAGGTTGCCAGTATAAAAACAGAGGCAGCAGATTCCCGCAACGAGAATCAAGACTACTTCGATGAGCCCATGGCTAAGCGGTTAAAAGAAGAAGCTTCCTCTCCTGGCCACAGCAGCAGTCCTGCACTCAGTGATTTGGAAGGCATAGAGTCGACGAAGGAGGTATTTCAGACGCTCCACAGATGGAAGACAAAGAACGTTTTGCAAATCTCATCACATCTCTTTGGCCCCCCTCTCCCCCTCCCCGTCCTTCCCCAATAGGACATGTTCGTCTATCCGCCTCTTCCCAACACCCCCTTCCCGGCCGTCCTGAAGATGGAAGCGGCTTCGTACAAGATGCCTCCGAGAGTAGACGTAAACCTGGCCTTCATCAGGAACCCAACTCGAGTCTCCGTCCTCTGGAACGTGGAGGACGAAGACCCCAGTTTGCCACCGATGGAAAGCTACACGTAAGAGACGGCACTGGAAAAAAAAAAAAAAACCCTGTTGCGAGGAAGGCTGTTATTAAAATATTGTGAAGGAGAAGAGTTTAATGCCACACGTTTCCTCTCTCTCTCTCTCCCTGCTGCAGCATCCTGCTGGCGATGGAGACCTTTAAAGGGAGCGGCGTCTTCCTCAAGTGGGATACTTACGACAAACTGCAGGCCAAGTCTCTGCCCATGTGCGCTCTGATCAATAAGTTCAAGCGTGGGCACAAGCTGTGTGCTGCTGTGGTGGGCAAAGACATATTTGGTCGCTACGGACCCTATAGCAAAGTTGTTACGGCGATCCTGCCGGACTAATTCGGAAGAGGATGCATGCAGGAACGCCTTGGAAACCTAAAAGCTTTCGTTTATTGCTTTGATTGTTCAGAATGCATTTTGTTGTTGTTCTTACGCAGGCAGAACTATTTGTAAGTAAAACAGCATGCACTCAAATGCCCGTAAAGTGAGTTAAGAAGCAGGTCAGCTTTAGAAAGATGTCTCTTAAAAGTTTTACAGTCGGGTTCCAGTTGGTAAAATAAGTGCCAAGATGTAAATATTCTTAGTTCACCTTTGTGTTTAGATGCCAGGAGGAGAAGTAATGGTGCTATCTTATCTTTAAAAGCATGCAAGCAAGATTTTAACGAAATGTTGGATTTTGTTTATTTGCAAATAAAGTTGACTTTTAAATGTTACTTACTTTTCATCAGCTACTACATTTTTTTTCTGTTGTAAAGTCAAAACAATTTAACATATTTTAGCTTAAATTTTGTTGAATAAAATCTTTGTTACATTTTACCTGGATAATTTACTGACTTTTTTTTTTTTTATCTTATAAATGCTACATGTAATTTGTAGCCCAACATCAGCGAGTGCCTTCCTGTGTGTTTATAAAAGGTCAACCTGTGCTACTCGGTGAACCAAATGAGATCCGTTTCCCTGTTTTTAACCAGTTGGACCATTTCCATTTCGGTTTTCTACACAAATGTTGTCGTTTTAGAAACAGCCTCTGCTTTGTTTGCTCGTGTTTGAGTTTTGAGCTTCATCTACCCCTGAATCCAAAAATAACATCAGTTTTTCTCAGTCAGGCCAGCTTTTTATTCAAATTTGAGAAATCCGATCTTCTAAACTAAACCGATGACATTTTTTGTGACATTATTCGTTCATTTCCATTAAACAAATATCATCCAAAAAAAAAAAGGTTTTAGGAGAAACAAAAATGTTTTGTAACAGAGCATATTAATTAAATGATACAAGCTTGAATTTCTGTAAATTGAATAATAAACATTGATAAGGGTAAGTACGTGTAAAAATGTTTTCACTGTGCAAAACTCAGGGCATTGACGTCCGTTTCTTCGAACGCCTTGAATGCTCAGCAGCAGGGATATCCCTCGTCAGCTTAGTTCAGAAAGTTGACCTGATTGAGCAAAACCAATGTGATTTTTAGATTCCGCTCATCAAAATCACCCTAAAACGGTTGGAAAAACCCCAGACAATGATTTGGCTGTTGACCAGAGTAGTTTTTACCTGTTAACCCAAACATCTGTTTACAGACTTTGTAGATAAACACCTATAGCATCCAGAGTTCATGCAGATCTTTTTCACATCTTTCACATTACATCCACACATTTCAATATTTTTAAATACTTCAATGTATTTTATTTGGATTTAATGTCGCAGACCTAGACAAAAAAAACAAAAAACAAAAAAAAAAGCATGATTGGGTATTAAATGAAAGGTTTGCTTTCTTTCTTTTCAAATTGAATTAATACAGTCTGATGTACATACTCTATGTATTTTCTCTTATACTTTCCAAGTGGTTTCCAATAAATACTAGCCAGGCTTTCGACAGTTTGTCGTACGAGGAAAGCAAAGTTATCATGTAATAGTTTGTATCAGCAAACTATTACATTGCTCATTGAGTGAGCAATTATGAAGAAAAAGAAAGTGTTGGGCCTGATGCTTGTGGTTCACTGTCTGTTCTCTACGTAAATAAAAATCAAACTGGACTTCAACGATAGGTGGATAAGTGACCCTTAGTGTGAAATTTTTTTTTATTGAATAAAAATCAAAACAATAAAACAGTACCCGTTTGATTAAATTCTTCTTATTTTGATATATGAGGGAGAGACGAGATCTCCAGCTAGCAGCTTGACTAGTAGCAGCTCTGTGTTTGCTGTAAACATCCATGGCAAAAATAAATAGAGCTCCTTTGAATACAAGGAAGTACATGATCATGTATCTCGCTCAGGTTTCAGTTCATAGAAACATCCTCAATTTGTGTAAATACTGACCAGGTACTGATCTACCCCCCCTCCCCCGTGGGGTTGACCAAGTGGGCATCCATAAATGATACCGTCTGCTGTTCTGTCCTGTAGTGTTTGTGTTCGGTCGTTCATAAGTCACCGACTTTTCAGGCTGTGAAGATGTTAGATCTGTTACTGGGTCTTGTTTCAGGTGAGCAAAAATATTTTTGGTTCTAATTTTTTGATTATGAAATTGTTCAATGTACGAAAATGTTAGTAAGTCAATGAATGACCATCTTGAAAGCATTTTTGCTCTATTTTATTTTAAATAAGACAAAAGGAACTTTTCAACAAGATAGTGGAGCTTCTTTTAATTCTCTAATATTGATTTTTAAAAAAAGAACTACAAGTTCTACTGGCAGATTGTATCCCAAATGGGAAACATGTTTTGTAATGAGTAAAATTATCTGCCAGTGGAAATCGTATTTTTTGATCAATATTAACGAATTATTGATTTAAAACAAGCTTCTATTCCTTTCTGAAAAGTTACTCTAAAGTTAGTTTTGCCTTATTTCAAGTGTACTAAGTAGAAACTAGACCAAAAACACTTGGTAAGATTTTGTGCTTTTCCAGTGCAGTTGGACCAAATATTTGACTGGAAGGATTGAATTCAGATTGTAATACTGAACAACAGATATAATGAGCAAAATATTGTGGTTTGGGTAAAACTATTTGATTAGAATTTTTATAATATCTGGAATGAACACATATCTGTGAACTGTGATTTTATTAAGTTGAAAAGCAGTCATTGTAACCTTGAAAGATGCTGACATGTGAAGAACTTGTCAGATAAGATACACCAAAACCATATGCTCTGGATTTATCAGAGTCTTTGTCAAAAATAGTATTTTTTTCTGAGATTTTCAACATTTTTCTGGTGTTTTTATTACTTTGTTCTCACATCACCATGTGTTTATTCTCTTTCTCTCTCTACTACAGCCTCTTTTCTCTTGTGCTCATCTTCAGCTGCCGGAGGTCAGTCCATATCTCCAACTTTTGCAGTTATTGTTTGTTTAATACTTATTTTTAAAATGATTATTTATTGTTTATTTCATTTCAGGCAATGTTGTCAGATTGGTTGGTTCGAGTTCAGATGGGTATTGCGCCGGAAGAGTTGAAATCTACCACAATGGAGAATGGGGAACAGTCTGTGATGACGGCTTTGACTATAATGAAGCTGATGTGATCTGCAAACAGTTAGACTGTGGACCACAATTAACTGTTCATGCATCCGCTCACTTTGGTGAAGGCACAGGAAAGATCTGGCTGGATGATGTGAGCTGTTCAGGAAACGAAGATTTTCTTTCTGAATGCAGCCACAGAGGATTTGGAACCCACAACTGTGACCATAACGAGGATGCAGGTGTCACTTGTTCCTGTAAGTGTGTATAAAAATCCAATGTTTTAGATAACACACAGCACTCAGGATTTCAGATAAAGCCGATTCAGTTCTGTGACAGTGATGGATGTGAGATTAGCTGTATTGAGAATAGTAAAATGATGCAGTCATTCAGAAATGTCTTTCTGAAACAGACATGGCTTGTTCCTGCTTCTTGTTGTAGCCACACTCATCTATGCTGCTATTAAGTTGGTAAAACAGAATGTGCTTATTTCTTTTTTGTTATTTTCTCATGTAGCTGTAGCTCATCAGATCTTACCATTTCCATCATGCTCTGGAAACGTCCATTTATACCACGATCGGGGATGGAAAGTACTCAGTTATAACGGCTTTGACACAAATGCTGCTAAAGTGGCCTGCAGACAGATGGGCTGTGGTCCATCAATCTCTCACTTAGGCCACGGCTACAGCTACAGCGCCGCGCTGCCTGATTTGAGCTGTTCCGGAAGTGAATTTTCTCTGTATGAATGTCAGCACAGTAATTCTTGGACATACCAATATGGTTCCTATGCTTATGTCTCTTGTTCAGGTATGGCTCAGTTTCTTCTACTTTCAATAATGTATTATTAATGTCTTCATGATTCTTATACATCAACAGCTGAAACCCACACATGTAAATATGTTGCATAAAATACACAACCCTGTGTTTTCGGACTGCCTGGCATGGACTTAGACTGAAAGTTTCCTGTTTTGGGTCAGTTAGGATTAACACAATGACTCCTGTTTTCTGAATATCCCTGCAGTGAGAATTATTTTTAAGAATTTTAATACTTTCCTAATTATAATTAACACACAAGCACACAAGCACCTTCATGCTTAAATCGTATTAATTAAAAAAAAATAAATCTTGTAATTAGAAACGCAACATAATTTTGGTGATCTTAACTGGCCTACATCTGGAAACATTTTTGTAATTTATTCACAGTCATGTATCATTTTATACACTGTAAGCATTTTGTTTAATCTGTACATATTTTGTTTGTTCTAAGGAACAAACAAAAAAAATGGACAGGGCTCAGTTTCTTTTTTTTTATGAGTTTCAGTACATCTGAGCTCAGACTTAATGCCAAGGATTTAAAAGGTTGAAATGTTTTTATTTCAACCTAATGATTCATAGTTACCTAATGATTCATAGTTACAATCTGAGTCTGAGACCAATCCCTTTTTGCTTTCTTTGGCCCTCATCTTATGCACTTGATAGATTATCCAGTCCGTCTAGCTGGGCCGTCTCGGTGCGCTGGACGAGTTGAAATCTACTACAATGGTGCCTGGCAAACAGTGTGTGATGACGGCTGGGACTTGAATGATGCTCAGGTGGTCTGCAGTCAGTTGAACTGTGGTGTAGCCGTGGCTGCTCCTCACTCAGCGCACTTCGGAAAAGGATCAGATAAAATCCTGTTTGACGATGTGGCCTGCACGGGGAGTGAAATACATCTGACTCGATGCTCACACAGAGGATACTTGGTACATAACTGCAGTCATCATCAGGATGCTGGTGTGATTTGCTCAGGTGAGAAAATGTTCATCACTTCTCTCTAAATGTAGTTTTAGTTCAAAACCAACATGTAAACGTGAGTTCTAGTAGAACAGCTTTGTTCTCTGGCTAGTCTTTCTAATGTGAGCTTCTTTAAGAGAAAGGATTTGATTCAGCAGCTCTTCATCTTTCAGTATTATTATATGTTAGCATTGTGTAGTGTCATACATATTTGTTTTGTAATAAACCAGGCTCCATCTTTTAAACGTTCATCTATACATTTTGCCAAATATTTTTTCTTTCAAAAACTCCCTTTGCCCCTATTTTAAATAGCATGTGGGATGAACATTGAAAATATGCAAATTTCTGGGGATTCACCGGTTTTCCACAAACACAGAAGCCAGCTTCCTGTTCCGATGCTTTACTGTGACAAGGACATTTCTACTGTTTGTTTTGTATCTGAATAGAGAACACATTTATTAAATTAATACTCAGTACCTTTTAATTACTCTTCAGTCATCTTGAGCCCCTTTATAGTAGAATTTGACTAAAATTTGTTCATTTGCATCATTTAGGTAAAGGACTTTCTATACTTTTTAGAAAGTTTTCAGATCAGTGTTATTTTACAAAAGAATCAGTCAGATTGCTTGTACACCTTTTATAAAGTCCTGTTTTTCCCATTCAGTATTTGTCTATTAATTGTGCCTCGTGGTTTTCATAGCCGGCCTGAGCAGGTTAATTGGGCCAAGTAGATGCTCTGGACGAGTTGAAATCTTCACCAATGGATCCTGGGGAACCGTCTGCAATAACAGCTGGGACATAAACGAAGCTCGAGTGGTCTGCAGACAGCTGGGATGTGGTACAGCACTGAGTGTCCTTCACTTTGGAGAGGGAACAGGAGAAATTAATGAAGTGACCTGCACAGGGAGCGAAAGATATCTGCCTGAGTGTTCGTACGGTAGAGTTGGAGCTCAGAACTGTAATCACAGTCAGGATGCTGGTGTCATCTGTTCAGGTAATGTAGGTTTTCTACTAAATGTATTGGTAAAAACTTGTAGAAGTAAAATCTAATCTAAGTCCTCATTGGGAGAATTGGAAAAAGTTCAACTGTAGTTATTATTTTATGAATTCAAATGGTGTTTTGCAACCCTCCAAAAAAATCCCTACCACTGTAAGTGACAATAAATTACACACTGACTGTATCTCTCCATAATTCGGGGACTCATTTAAAAAGATATGAGGTACTTTTGGAAATAAAGTAATTAATGCAACTTTAAAGGAAAAACTTAACGTAATATTGTGTCTATTACATCCAGAAACAGTGCAGTGTAGTAAGTCAATCACAGGCTTTTGTTGACGACAGACTGTATAAAAGTGCTGCAATAAATAGAAGAAAATAGAATCTGTGTCGTCATTGTACAGAAATGACTTCAAATCTGAAGCCTGACAGTCCTTTATGAAATGTATTTACTTTGTTATGGTGACACTGTGTGACTCTGACACTATGTAATGTGTTTTTTTGACAGGCCATATAAGGCCCACTATTGAACTTACTCCTCAAGGTGACATCACCTTGGGTCGTAATGTCAGCATCAGTTGTTCAGTCACTGATGCACAAGTAAGAGGGATATTTGTCTTCACGACGACCACAGGCTCATTCAACCGGGCTGTGAACTCAAGCAGCAACTCTGCTACTTTCTACATCGTTCAGGCCACTTTCAATGATCAGGGATGGTACAAGTGTCAGCTTCAAGTCATGCTTCCCAATGAGAACTTCACCACTCTCTTTAGTGACACAGTCCAACTAAGAGGTATTACTGTTTTGCATTCATTTACTCTTATAACTCTAAATAAATGTGCTGAGAAAATAACAACTGTCTCATTTCTTTAGTGAGCTTTCCACAACCCACGATCAGTATTGAACCCTCTGGAGTGATTAATCTCAATCAGGATGTCAAAATAATTTGTTCAGTCACTAATGAACAAGGAGGAGGGTCATTTATCTTCAGGAAGTCTTCAGGAAGTTTCAGTCAGACTGTGAACTCAAGCAGCAACTCTGCTACTCTAAATATCCCTAAAGTTACCTTTACGGATGCAGGAGACTACCAGTGTCAGCTTAAAGTGAGGATTTCTAACGAAGACTTCAGCACCAGCTTCAGCAGTTATGTCTCACTCTATATTAACGGTGAGTTTTTATCTTTATTTTGCAAATAAACTGAGTTTACTATAGGGTTAAAGTATTATAACAGGTGACCAAACTTTGCACCATTTTTCAGGTGAAATTCCAAAACCCAACATCACCTTGCAGCCTGCCGGTCTGGTTTCTTGGGGTCAGAGTGTCAGCATCAGGTGTGACGTTATGGATGGATTGAGTGGATCGTTTATTTTCACAAACGCTCCCAGTTCTGTCATTCAGACTATAAACTCAAACAGCAACTCGGCTACTTTCCATATCGCGCAAGTCCGTTTGGGAAATGAGGGATTGTACCAGTGTCGGTTTCAAAGAACGGTTTCTGGTGAAGTGTTTCACACCAACTTTAGTGACCCTGTCTGGCTAACTGGTAATTATTTTTATTAGCTTTGACCATTTGATTAAACATAGAAAAGACGTGATGTTTTTGTTGCTTTTTAGTGAACCTCTCACAGCCGACCATCACCTTGGATTCTGCCGGTGGGGTGATGTGGGGTCAGGATGCCACCCTCACCTGTTCAGTCATCGAGGGTCGGGCAGGAGGATTATTTGTCTTTAGGAGAACACCTGGTAATTTCATCCAAACTGTAAGCTCGAGCAGCAACACAGCTACCTTCCATATCACTCAAGCTAACTTGGGAGATGAGGGATTATACCAGTGTCTGTTTCAACGGAGAGTTTCTGATCAAGACTTCAACACCAGCTTCAGTGACCCTGTCCAACTAACTGGTAATTATGTTTTAATTTACATTTGCCACTTCTTATGAAATCTCTAAAATATACTGTGACGTCTCCTCACTGTGAATTATGTCAAAGGTTTATGGGCAGTAAAGCTTTTCTCTTGTGTATTTTTTCAGTATTTCTTCCAAAGCCCAGCATCACTTTGGATCCTGCTGGTGTGGTTTCTATTGGTCAGACTGTCAACATCGCTTGCTCAGTCTCTGAGGGTCAAGTAGGAGGATCATTTATCTTCAAGAAGACATCAGGACCAATCACTCATGTTGTAAATTCAAGCAGCAGCTCGGCTTCATTCCACATCAGTGAAGTCAACTTGGTGGATCATGGACCGTACCAGTGTCAGTTTCAAAGAAGGTCTTTTAATCAAGACTTGAGCACCAACTTGAGTGATTCTGTCCAGCTAACTGGTAATGTTTTGTCTTTATGTTTTAGATTGTTTTTCCCTTTCACTGAGTATATTTAAGTTGTTTTTTCTCCACTGTCTCTTTCTGGTTTACTCCATTGCCATTCCTTGTTTACTGGATCCTCCATTGTCTGCATTATTTTGTTCTGCTGCTACCTATCTGCCCATATCAATAAATTATTTATTTCCACGTGAGTCTCCACTTTTGTCCTCTTTTACAACTTTCTAATTTGACATTGTGTTATTTTTCAGTGAGCCTACCAAAGCCTACCATCACCATCCAGCCCACTGGTGTGGTTATGTGGGGCCAGGATGTCCACATTACTTGTTCGATCACTGGGGGTGAAGTAGAAGGATCATTCATCTTCACAAAGACCCCAGGTCCTTTCACCCAGACTGTGGTCTCAAGCAGCAACTCGACTATTTTACATATCCATCAAGTCAACTTTACAAATGAGGGATCGTACCAGTGTCAGTTTCAAAGAACAGATTCTAGCTCTGTTTTTAGTGATAATGCGAACCTGAACGTGACAGGTAATTGTTTGTGAAATTAGCTTAATGAAATAGTTCAAAATGACATAAATAACATTCTCATT